CCCCAAAACCCCAAAACCCCAAAACCCCTAATTTATTTAATATTTTTGAAACTAACAGTTAATATCCGCAACAACATGGATAGGTAAGCATCTTTGGCTTTATCTTACTCAGATAAAACATAATCGTTAAATTATTCTGGTTCGCATCAATCTTGTTCCATTAGAACCTACAACATGCTGAGGAAAAATATATCATTTAGTTGTATATACACAAAAGATTTTTAACTTCCAACAATGCAAAATGCAAAAATTAATCATTCCATTTAGAAAAGCCGATAACTCAGTTGATGGCTCTCAAGAAAAATCTAAATCACTTAGAACAACAATCAACGACAATATTCAATTAAAACCAATTTCTTTGCAGATCAATCTCCACTTGAAGAAAATTCAACTTTCAGTGCCTTCTCCTTTAACAATCAAACTAATGTGGGTCAGAGGATCTAAATAAATTAGAGACTAAGAAAAAGGTCATTGTTGAGCCGAAAAGCTCGACCACTATCTTTTCAGAAACTATGTCTCTAGTTACGAAATTTAGTCCAGACCCTGCTAACCCAACTAAATACAAAAGGAAGAGATGATATTTGCAGATAATGGCAATGACTAAAGGCCAAATTAAGCCAGTTGGTATTTTACCTTTCAATTTATCTGAGTTTGTTTCAATCCCTTCACAAAGTACGATGAAGCTTTCATTTGCAAAATGATTTGACTCTAAGGCTGCTATCTTTCTAAGTACTTCTAAACAAGAAATTGAAACAAACAGTGACCCTCTTGAAACAGAATCCAATGCTACAATTGAGAATTTTAGCGACACTTTCTCAGAATGCTCTAATGCTGTCAACTTTGGAAGCAATGCTAGTTTTCCTAACAAAACTCCTTCGACCACTGAAGACACTAATCTGAGCTCATATGTTGAAAGTGAGAGTCGCTCACCTTCCTTCATCTCAAGTTCTGTGAAAGAGGACAAAAAGACTTCTAGTGAAGATAAACCAAACATCGACCAAGATAAACTTTTGATTCAAAAGTTATCAGACGAAGTTTCGCATTACAAAGCAAAGCTTGCTCAAATGACAGCAACCAAACAACAGGCTGACCAGATGAACCAATCTCAGGCTCAAGAAATTGCTAGACAAAAAGATTTGCTGGAAGAAAAATAGCAAACATCTAAATTGAATAAAGCTTGAATTAAAGAATCAGCAAGAAGAAATTGAAGCGAGAGAAATAGCTGCCCATTCAGAACACCGAAAACTTAAAATGAAAATCGACTATTTAACAAACAAATGATTTGAACTGAACTGAAAGTTAGATAAGAAAGAATATAAGGAAGGTCAAAAACCAGAGAAAGATGATTCTTCTATGGTGATGGATCTCATTGAAAACAAACAAAAGGAATACTGTGATACAGACAAGAATCAGTTGCAAGACCCAACTGATTTTATATTTAACATCTTTTCTCAGTATGAGAGTATGAAGAAGAGCATTAGAAAACTATCTGAGCAAAATGATCTCCTTAAGAACGAACTTGCAGAGACCAAAGTTAGATGGGCAGATTCAGCAGGAGAATCAGAAAGACTTGGAATAGCAATCAAATCAATGCAATCACAAATGCAAAGACTCTCTACTCACAGCAGCCAAAGAGGAAGCCAGGTTAGTGCAAGTAGCCAAAATGAAGAGAAACATGACAATATTAGACCAGAAATTAACGAAAGAACTTTTTCCTCTTATCTTGGAGGAATTAGTTTTTGGGGAGGCAACTAATCATTTTCATGCTTACTAAGATTTCACTATAAAGTCATAAAATAAGGGAAACCTCAAATTAGATTGTTTTAATTTTCAAAGAATATGATCACAATTATACTATCAAATTTGATAGAGTTATTGCATCACTCTTCATATTTTTTAGGGTTTTGAGAGAATACTATAATTTCCTGAATTGGTTTATTTCAACTTTCTAAATTCTCAAAGGGGTTTTGGGGTTTTGGGGTTTTGGGGTTTTGGGGTTTTGGGG